AGGAGTTGAAGCACTAGCCATTGTGCCAAGAGATCGTTGTCTGTTTGGTTCAAATCACGATTTTTACCACTGATAGATGGACGTTCATTTCTGATGCACTTTCACTCGCTTCGAGTGAGATGTAACCAGGTTGAAAATACTTGATTGACTACGAGCAATCTTACTCAAAGTTCTTAAAAGAGCTTTCCATTTCCACGCGAATTCACTGCTATTTATATTATCTTGCTCATTAGTTCAGTGCATGCCCCGACTAGCTGACACTTGAATTCATTTGTTACAAAATCTAGTCTATTCCATAAGAACAAAAGAAATTATTTCGGATTCTACCGGTCGCATTAATACAATAAGACATCGTTAGTGGAGGAAGGACTACTGCCACTTATCAGAGTGTTTTTATATTTAGTTGTGGGTGGCAATATATCGTTCATTAGCTGAAGACAAGGCAGGTACTTTGGTTATAAACTTTTATAATGCATGGGATGGAGTATTTTCTTTCCAGTAAAAAGACAAATACGAAACGCATATTTTCAATAGAATGTCATCCAAACAACCTTCTTACCCTCAGTACCAAGAAAATTGATTTTATATATTAACACAAGAAAACGATATACGCTCTACAAAACCGAGCACTTGGATGCTTTTCATCGGACAAAGAACTTCTCAGTATTTATTCCTCTTGTGTCGTATAATTCAATTTCGGAACTTCGTGGTTTGGTGAAGGATTTTCAGAAAACTGCATTTATATAGCACAACTAGATGCCATTTCACATCGGAGTCAGGTGTGGAAGATTCTCATTGATACCGTCGTTTCGGGAGGATTTATGAAAGGAAGACTTTTGAATATGAATCACGCTCCCGGAAGCAAAGATAACCTTCTATAAAATCATAGAAGTGTTATGTAATTCTGTGTCAGAAACCTAACCCAAACCTTAACTTGAACCATAATTCCAACCTTAGCAATTGCTCTTCTATCTTTGGAAATTAAAGGTGACCCCGGAATTAAGGATTCATATTCTCGTGTCCTGCCAAATAAACATGAGAAACAAGGAAAGTATGATAAATCACGGCCGTTGGCCAACTGGAGACATCTGTTCCACTTAAAGGTTCAGTAAGAAATCTTGAGGACATGGTTACCGCAGCGCTTACACCAGATTCGCTAGTTTGGCTGTATTGCAGTCACCCCTTTCCATTGAGTTCATGCTTCGCATGATGCCTAGGAATCTGGTTAATCCTTCTTTTTTTCCTCCATTGGGAAATTGATCGACACATTGCTTGGTTAAAAGACCAGTGCATTGAGTTACGATCGACTGAATTAGACGTAACGCGCCTGCATCGCATCCACAAAAATACTTTCGGTTAACACGTTTGTTCCTGTAAACGTTCGCCACTTTCTTGCATAGGTTCATCCGATGACGTCGCACATTTGGGTGGCGTGCCGACACAGGCAAAAACATTGTTGAATAAAATACATGCAGTAGTTTCGATAGTCAAAAATAACAAACATCAGGTATTAATTTTGCCGAAAGTAAACCTAGATACCTCGAGTGACGAGTTGCCATTTCAGTGTCTTTAAAACTGACCTGAAAAAATTATTCCTTTTCTATTATTTTCCTAGATCATTCCACTTCTTTCAATTTGTCCTCTTCTTTAGTATGGACTATTTTGGGTTTTTACTTTTTAAATTGACTTTTTTACCGAAAATAGGAATACACCTCGTTAAACTGCTTACGAAGAAAATTTCCCAAAAATGGAACTCATAATTCAGTGTTCATGTTTGGCGTCTTATACAAGCAAAATATATTGCTAGGTTGTCTAAAACCTCCTTGGTGGCCATCACTCTTAAAAAGTGTGCTTCGCCCCCAGAAGTGCCATCAATCCGCGGAAGTGGTGATTTCCTTGCCCATCAGTATGGTTTAAGATATGTAGGGCCATTGTAGATCGGAAGTCAGTATGTCCGGAGCGGAGAATTAACACGACATTAAGCTCTACCTTTTACCTTCTTTCAAACCCAGGTAGGTAATTCTATTCTGGAGACAGCATATTCCGGATTTTTTGCTAGTGTTTCGAATTAACTCTATTTGTACCCTCTTTATGTCAAAATATATCCGGTGGATTTAGACTGAAGGCAAATAAGTTATTCTAAATACGCCCTAATGATAGTGTCATGGGCAGGAAAACACAAGAACTCCGATGATTTTCTCTTTTCTTTCCACATTTCAGGAAACTAACAAAACATTGGGACGCTGGACTGGCGACCGATAGTCGTTCTCAACGATATTAAATGTCCCTAAGTTGACGGAGCAAAGCGGGCTTTAGATAAACGATGGTACAACGCCTATAGTTCTACTCAAGGCTCGTACGAGCACCTTCTGTTGTAGTAAATATGGCCCTAGCAACTGTAAATCTTCTCAATTTACCTTGGCAACTGGTGCTTTATCCTTTTGTCAGGCCTTGGAAATCTTCATCGTCATTTTTTTCCAATAAAACCGACGGAAAGATATTTTTGCCGGTGGATAACTGACAGTCCGCCTTTTCCGTCTCCCAACAAAAATCGATTTTTTGACAGTTGTACTTTTGTTTAAATGTATAAGAAGAGGACTCCGTGGTGAAGAGGGTGTGTGTTCTATTCATAACAAAAGACCGGGACAAAACAGGTTTCTCGAGTAAATTGTGTACATCAAAATATATACAAGAGTTCTTTAAAGGGCTTTACTGAAACTGCCAAAACGGCGTTCTGAAATAAAAATTTGGAGTCACTTTAAGCGCATATCGAAATTTTATCGGCAGTAGGATGGTCGTGATAAAGATGATAAGGATGATGGTTGTTTGGCGTATGACGAGAAGAACTTCGAGAAGCACGATGAAGACGATGATGAAGATTACGACCAGGAGAGAGAGAGAGCGAGAGAGGTGGGATTATAAGGGACATCATGGGGAATATGGCGCGCTTAAAGGTGGCCTATGTCAGAGCGGTATCTGAACCATGTCCGCATCACACGTACGGAGTGATTAGGCTGGAATAGTCGGTCTTCATGAAGTGACATTCACTTCAGGATGTTAAATGCAGTCGGTCGTCAAAAAAATTGCGCTTTGAAAAAGAAACAAAAACAGAGGTTTTTTCTTTGTTGTCACAAGCAGCAGTGCTTTCAGTTTGCTTCTCCTGGAATAGAAGAATGGTTCACGTGGGTTGCTGTGATGCCTTCCAATATTCTTTGGTAGTCTAAAGTTTAAAAAAATGCGTAGTGTTAATCATTAACTTTGAAAATCTGAGGGATTTACATATGTGCGGCCGTTGAACCTATTCTGATTACTTCAATTTCAGGACGGCAGTACCTGCAGCATGATCTTCTTTTGAATTATTGCAAACAAGCAGGCAATAAGAAGATGAGATGACATGCAAAACATGCCTCACATTCTTGCGTGGTGCATATGTGGGCTAAAAATTTTTGTGAAGTCTGATGATTTACTAAGGGACTCAGTAGGCCACTGTCTGGGGTATCCTGGCCGCAGTTATTTAGCTACCGGGGAGCGAGAATCTACAGGTTTCGGAACTAAGATCTCTCAGACAGGTAGGGTACTTCATACTAAGATAAATAATTTCAATTTATTTTCAATAACTTTGGCGAACCCACATCAGGCTATCGGCTTGCATATTACGTTCTAATCAAAAACGTGCATGCTGGTACAAAACTCTAGCAGCACAATCACGATTTCTGTCAAGCAGAAGTGTATTGTACGTGAGTTGAGTGTTGATCGCAAGACATCAACATCGGACTGACCATTTATCGCTTCTTTCCAGTCGTCTACCTCGGTTGCTTAGCCTGGTGGCAAGCGAACGCCGATCATCAGTGCCGATGCCGAAGTCGCCACCAACGACTGCGGTGCAGGTGTCCAAGTAGTCATCGCACGAGGTATACGAAACAACACGATTAATGTGGGAACTGCTATATTTAGTAGATTATTATGATTGCCTAGCAACTGCATACGTTTGTAACATGACGGATATGCTTATGGGTTGCTATACCTAAGATGTATACACGTTTAAATCCAGAACGTCGAGTGAATTTACTTTTCGTTCCGGTGACTGGGACTACTTCTGTAAAATACACTCATTCCCATCTAAATCGGAATAACGCCTAGATGCACAAACTAAGGTGAATAAAAGAACGACACTCAAACTTATTGGCCGGAGTTTCATGTTCATAATGTCTGTTAATCACCGCCTACATGTAACTATTAGAACATTATTAGGAGTCGTCATTCTACCTACAACTAAAGTATGTCCGGTTTTCTTGTGTGGTTATTTAGCGGAACTAAGAAGTATCATTCAGTGTGTAGTCAAAATGTCATTTTCGTCTGAGTATAGTTTGCGCAAAGACGTGCGTGGAGATGCCGGTTTACCACGCTTTTAACAACAGCGCTGCCCAGAGATATCTGCCAATTGAAACTACGGTGGTTGCTTTGACATGTGAATTCATGTTTTATTAACGAAATTATGTTCTTCAGATCGAGGACGCAAATGTGCGTGTGACCAGGGTGGATACATGCAATGTGATGCTTTTGGTTGTTTTGTGCTTGGTCTTCTGTGGTTCGCAGGCCTTTGCAGTTCCTTCAGCACCAGTAATTACGTCTTCGGTGGTATCCAGAAGTTATAGATACGGATCTTCAAGGACACGCGTCTACAAAATTAGTCCTATGGACACCTGAGCGTTTGCCTCATTAGAATAACTCTAAGGCACTTCAAGCTTTTACGACGAGTTGCTAACAGAAGGTCCAACACGGCCCGTCTGGAGACAGAGTCAGGGCGCATGGACTCAAAGAACTCCCATGCATTTGATATTAGAGTCACGATCCTAGTAGCCTATCACATAAATTGGGTATTCGACCGTATGCGGTACGCGCAGGTGAGATGTTTAACGTAGCCAATCACTACACCTATTGGTTACTACGACTTTGAGCATGGAGGGCAATGGTCATTAAATGCAAGTACCTGTTTTCAGTCAGTCGGCCCCGCCACCGCCACTACCGCTACTAGCGGGCGTGGTGGCGGTGGTGGCGTTGGTGGTGGGTGTGTTTACTGTCTGTGTTGGAGGGGTGCTGGAGGTGAAGATAGCGGTGGCCAGGGAAGTGGTCTCCGTGCCGACACCGCCCCC